TTGTATTTCCCTAAATTACCGTTATATGGGATGTGGGCGTGGTTATTGTCCGATTTTAAAAAAATTTCGGACATTTGGTATGCTGTGGCAAGGCCAATAACTGTGCCTAATTTGGAAGAGATTGGTGCAGCCGTTACCAAGATATACACATGTAACCATAAGTGGGCGTGGCTATGCCCATTTTCCAAAAATGTATAATATTCTTATTTCTCGTCTTAAATTTATTTTAAATATCAATTTTGAGTGGATAATCTTCAGTAATTACTAAAATATCGCAGTTTTCGTATTTCTGAAAATTACCGTTATATGGGAAGTGGGCGTGGTTACAGTCCGATTTCGCCCATTTACAATACCAACGTACCTTGGATAAAAGGAAACCTACATACCCAATTTCGTTGAGATATCTCAATTTTTTCTCGAGTTATAGTGTATAGGGACGGTCGGACAGACAGACATGGCTTAATCGACTTCTCTATTCATTCTGAGCATTTATGTATACATTTGTCTATATCTAGCTCCATTCGTTTTGGCTGTTACAAACAACCGTTATTTGAACAAAGTTAATATACCCTTGTGCACAAGTGCACTCGGGTATAAAAATAACTCGTTAGGACACGTACATATGTATCTATGTATTCAGGGAACTGCGGTTTATTTTAATGAAACTTCTATCGAATCTTTAGTGATCTGCTTTTATAATATGAATTTAAGTTTTCCGTTTTTTTTTCTTAAAATCAATATTCGACATCTTTCATCAAATTAATAAACGCTATCATCACTCTATAAAAATTTATTATATCTCGACTAATTTTTTACACAGTACAAGTTTTAAATATTTTGTGATAGGATAAATAAAATATCATTCAAGCTTTACATAAATCGTGAAAAACTGCGCTCGAAGTAAATGAGCAATTTCTGAAAGCTTTTTATGGTTATGTGATTTTTGCCTGTAAAATAAAAAATGTTTGTTGAGTTAAACTTTGGAATTTTTTGTGTCAAAAACTTGGCACGAGTATGCACGTAAATTTGCATATTAACCATTTAATTTGCTTAGTGGAATTTTTCTTCTTCGAAATCTGATTTCTTCAAAAATATTCCAGTTAATGCGCGTATGAACAAAGCGAATTATTTGAGGTGAAAAGCAGAGCAAATACTACCATTGACTGACAACCGTGCGCATGCGCACCGAATTTTAAATAAACAAGCAAACGAAAGTGAAGAGTTTGCAAATAAATTGTTTAAGCAATTGGCGCTGCTGCCGAAAATCAGCGCAGGTGATTTTGCCAGACGCGGAGACAGGCAATTTGTGTTACGGTAGCCGTCAGCTCAAGGCATTGAAACCGAATTACTCGTATGTTATTACATACATATGTACATATGTTTATATTGTAGGTACAGTGGAGCCTCTTTTAACGAACACAGTTCGTTCCAGAATCTTGTTAGTTATCCGAAACGTGCACAATAGAGCAATTCATCTAAACGCGTAAATGCATCGTAACCACTTAAAACTACTTGATTTTATATAGTAAGTTTAACTGAATTACTAAAATATGTCAATATCTACTTTTATTGAAAGTTACATAATATACATACATACATATGTACCAACATTTGAAGGAGCTGAATATAGTACGAAACGAAAATCTGCAATGGATCAAACGAAAAAATTACTTTTGTGATACCTAATATACACTAACGTGTGTATATGTATTTCTCAGTAATACTTATGTACATTGGCGTGTCCGTTATTTCCCAAATTGGTTTTCCTGCTGCAGCCCACTATGATCTGAAATTCAAATTTTTTGGCATAAATTAGAAGGAGTGGTACTAGGCCATTGAAATTTCGCATACAGGTTATATATGACTTAGTTAAGAAAAATTCCAAGAATGGATGAAATCGGTCATTCCCCAGGGGTACCTCCCTTGGACCTATAGTAAAAATTTTTGAATTTCAGCTCCAAAAATTGCGATATCTTCACGAAAATTGGTAAATATGTTATTCTCGTAATACGCATCGACGATACCAAAAATAGTTGAAATCGGCCAGTCCCTAGGAGTACCTCCCTTGGACCTATAGTAAAAATTTGGTTTCATAAAATGAAAAATTTGCTTATGATAAGCAAAAGTGGTCAAATAATTTTATTATCCAAATATTTATACATATGTTTTTACTGAAACAATTATTTTTATAATAACATTGACTGTACATCTGAAATGAGAGAGAAGTTACAGAATTATTAAATTCACTTGAATATAATATAAAAAGTTATATGTACCAAGCAAATCATTCGAAATCACAGTCTTCCGTATCTAAAACTAAAGCGTTCTCCACAACGTCTGCTTCCGATATATCGGAATCAGAATTATCCGAATCGTATTCAGATCCCCCTGGCAAGTGGTTGAAAATTTGAAGCTCACTTGAAGGTGCAAGCAATTGTATTATTTCTTCTGGTAGCTTCTCTCTTTTCCGATATTTTTCTCTAGCGGATAAAGACGAGCTGGAAAGAAGGGGGTCTGATGAATCCATTGCTCTATTGAAAACATCAGTCATATTATTTTTTCTTGTATTTTTTCTTGCATGTGCGTTGCGATCTCTCTTGTATAATTTATTTCGAGCTTCTGACGCATTTTCACCAAAACAACCAACAGGAATTCCGCAATTTTTTATAATCTGTGAGCCGTGAACTAATATTTTATGAACTGTTGCTGACATTGGAAACCATAAATATTTTTCCATGTACAAGAAGGCAGTTCTTTTGCAAAAATCTTCAAACTTTGTGGTATCTATAGGATACTCGCAGGAAATAGCAATTAATATAACTCTAAAGTTATTCAAAATTTCTATATCAATATTTGTAATTAAAGAAAAGAGTTCCAAATTGTTAAATGCTTTCCTGGCAGTATTGCCGTCATTTGATGTTCCACTACCATTTGCTTTAGGCTTATCTACATGAAGGCCCATTTCTTCCCAAAACCTCTTTTGTACTTCTTGTTTACGAAGTTGGAATGCTTCTTTATCTGAAGCTTCCCTTATTTGCCACTTTTTTAATTCGATTCTATAAGCAATGTGTACAACGAATTCAAATACTCGAATCCATGCATGTAGTGGGCTAATACCATATCTAAGGGATGTAAGTTTGGGTTTAAAAACATCAGAATTAAAATTTTTAGTTGTTACGAATTGTTTTGGTGTAGCACCACATATTGGGCATTTTTGATTAGAATTGGTGTTAGTTATAACATTTAGTACTTTTCCATCAATCAAAGTCATATGCAAATCATAATTGACAATAATTTTTTCTCCGTTTTCAAGGTAATATTCAAATGGATTTAAATAAGATATTTGCATATCTAGCTGACTATTTTCTGATAGAATTAGAGCTGTAGATTCTTTTGCTAATTGATTTTTAATGGCCTGCAAAACCGCACTGATTGCGTAGTGCGATTCCTCCAAATAATTTTGCCAGAACTGTCCAACATTTGTAAAGGTATAATGGTAGTTACAAACAGTGATTGGTCAAAAAGTTGAGGTGTACTTGTCTCAAACCTTTGTTTAAACATACTTTGTCCCGTTGTACCGTCAAACCCATAGCTAGCAATTAAAACAACATTCGAAATTTCTGCCATGACGTGCAAAACATCTTTTTGGAATAAAAGAATGCGTTGTGCGGTATGGTCTAAGAGATTTTGCAGTGATACTTCTGCTGAAGACTCCGACACAGATATCTCCTTAGGCCGGCAAAGTAGCTTGCATTTAATTACTTCCTCATAGCTTGGATATATATTGCAATTCCTTTCTTTATTTAACAACCTCATGTTGATATATTGTCTTTTGCTTAAATCATTTTCAAGTAAAAATGCGAGAGCTTCTTCCGGAGTTAGTGGAACTGCTTCGGGTTTTTTGGAGGTAACAGCTTTTCTTATTTCGCTTTGTTCTACTTGATGTGCAGTTTTCTTTAAAATAAATGCTAAATCACTTGTTTTGATTTTTTTGCCGCCACAGTAGCTGCATGAATCAAAAAATCAACATCGTCATTGTTTTCACAAGAAAGATCACTTGCCAGCTTCCTCTTAAGCCGATCTTTTGCATCTGTGTAACTAACCTTTGGTCGTCCTGCTTTACTTGAACAGGGTTTTTCAAAATCATTCTCAGAAATTTCAATATAGTGTTGAAACCCACTAGGGGTATTTCTCTTTAAATCTATTAACCATACGATTACATTTTGATAATTTTTGGCTAACATATGCTAATAAATTTTGTATTTTTTTTCTTATTTCATCTTTTTTCTTTAAACTTAACTCATTAGTATTAATTTTTTTAAAAACCCAATCCAAAACAACATTAGTTTTGCGATCGCCCTCTATCCAAACTCCAAGCATTTCTTCGTGTTGGAATTTAAAGGTTGCTGAAAATTACAAATATACTTAAATGGGGCAAAAACGGGTCAATGTTACATACATGATTTTAAAGAACATACCCCAAACTTCCACAGAACATAAAAATCTGGAACAATACGGGACAATACACACAACTTTCACTCCACAGAACACAGGTTAATACGAAATTTTCGGTTAAAAAAGCTATCAAACAAAACTCCACACTATACAGATATAACACAATAAACCACATTTTTTTCCATTAAGTTAAAAAATAGATACCTTTCTTATATTCTTCCATTATAAATTTATTTCTTTTTTTTCCTTTTTAACTATTATCGAACAGCTGTTTTCTTACAATATTTTACTGAACTGTTTACAAGTTTGTTGTTGCTTCAGAAGCATCATGCTTTACAGCTCATATTTAGAACAGAGTTGCCATATCCAAATAATTTATTGTATATTTTAGACCACTAAAATGACTCAANTATCGAACAGCTGTTTTCTTACAATATTTTACTGAACTGTTTACAAGTTTGTTGTTGCTTCAGAAGCATCATGCTTTACAGCTCATATTTAGAACAGAGTTGCCATATCCAAATAATTTATTGTATATTTTAGACCACTGAAGTGACTCAGTTAATACTGTGTACCTATTTTTTTGAAATAAGAAAAAATAATTTTTGGATTTATGCCAAAAAATTTGAATTTCAGACCATTGTGCAGCCCCATGAATTTTTATTACGGGTTTTTTGGACGTTTTGCAATTTAATTTTTTTCTGATACAATTAAAGATATAGCAAATACAGCTGGTAATTTATTTATTTTATATGGGACGCCAAATGTTCTGTATTTCTTTTAATGTCCTGCATTTGTCCCGTATTCACTTTTGTGTTCAAATCAACAAAATCCCGATTCCATATGCGCCTCGCTGACGTAGATTGGGCTTTTAGGGTTAAGTGATATTGGTATATGTATGATGGTAATTTTCTCCATAAACAGTTATTATTTTCTAACCAGAACGCCTGTGATTGGATACATACAGTGACCAAAATATAAATTAGGACTTCACATTTTAGCAAGGCTTGGCTATTTGTCTTTAGTTTATTTAATCATTATTATATTTTATGAAAGTTAAGCTCTTTTCATAACAAAACCCACATAAATCCAAATTTTAGACTTTGTCCAAAAAAACTATAAAAATTAATTATGCAATGTTTCACCAAAAATTCAACCTTGTAATTAGAATCTTAAAAAAAAGTGGTTTGCAGCTTTGTAGGTCATTAAAATTTAGTATAATAAAGTGCAAGTGGAAAGTGCTGCCCATTTACTTCTCTTTTAAAAAGTTGTCGNCACCAAAAATTCAACCTTGTAATTAGAATCTTAAAAAAAAGTGGTTTGCAGCTTTGTAGGTCATTAAAATTTAGTATAATAAAGTGCAAGTGGAAAGTGCTGCCCATTTTCTTCTCTTTTAAAAAGTTGTCGAACATACTTTGTATGAAAAAAATGCGCAACACCGCCACCAAAAAAAAAACTGCCAAAACTTAACGGTAAGTCCTAACGACTTCAAAATTGCACTTTATTATACATACTAAATTTAACGAATCTTTTTAAACAAATTTTGCGGGGAAAAAATCTCGAGAAAAATATCCTACAAATTTGTGATGTTACTATAAGGATGCTGTTTTAGGCATAATACATCTAGGGTCATTGAAGAAGGCTTTAAGATGTGTAGTTTTTTTTGCAAAAAATTTGCACAATTATTTTTTCCCCGTATTCGGCTCCCATAAATATGATCACCGTAGTAATAGCGGACAGCCTAATATGTATGTTTGTGCGTATGAAAATCTCATGTGTTAAGTATCTAGTTTTCTCGAATGAGCGACATGTGCACAATTATTTATAATCTTAGCGCTCAACAAAAATACTGCAGATTTTATACCCCCACTTCACGACATCACTCAAACGTAATATGACCAACTATTTCATAGCTGAAAGAAGTACAGCTTACGTTGGGTTAAGTTAACGGCGCGAGCTGATTACGAAATTTCGAATGCAGCTAATTTCGATCCCTGAGAGCTCAGTATTTGTTCAGAAGTGCGAGCCAAAATGTCTCCATCTTAGCATTGCGAAGGTTGGACAGTTAAAAGAAAATGTGGAGATGATTCCACTTCATTTTTTTCTTTTTTGTGCATGTGTGAGCGTGATTGTGCGCGCCTTAACTTAAACTCGCTCACGCGCGCATCTCTAGTTCGATCCCTTGCCTGCGTATAATCTAAAAATGAAAGACAAGTTTTTTCTAACATTGCCTCAGCAGGCAAACATATGAGTAGACATACTTGTGCTATGGAAAACTTTTTCTTAAAAAACTTTATCTTTTGGAAGCGATGAAAAATTTTAAATTAAAGGTATCCACAAACTTGTGCAATTCTGCCGGTGCGAATCTGTTCTGACAAAAATTACAACAATGCCGTTCATAGTTTTAAATGAGGAACCTCACACTAGTGCGATTTCGCTGCAGCGATTTATTCGAACATTCACATTTCTTCTTTTCGTCGTGCCGAAATCGCAGACCCACGCGTTCGGAGAACTAAAAAGAATTTAAACAAAAATTAACGTAAGAGAACAAAACATGTTGATTGTACAAAAGCTAAGAATTTTATTGTTTGATGAAAATTATTTTTTGTCTGTTTAGAAAGATGACATTTTTCACTGCGATAGCATCGCATAGATGTGTGCGTGCTTGCGTTATCGAACTAGTAAACTCTCTCCACTTAATCTTCTTCTTGACAGCTGATACAAAAGGGTCAGTTGTAATTTCTAGTCTGGCCGCATGAATACCAATCGCACAATGGCCTGTCAGAACCCCCATCACTAGCCCTTGAGAGGTAACGTGTTTAATAGTGCCCTATAAAAACATTTACTGCAGCAGAGAAACGTCTTATTTTCCTTTTTCATGTCACAAAAAGTCCCGGTTTCCCTCAGCCTAATAGCAGTTCGTGCTGCGACAATTCTGTCTGGAATATGGAATGTTAGCGTAGGTGTGGTTCCTAATGCTCCGCTAATTCCTGTTTTACAAGTGAAGACTTCTTAGTGAGTTCCACCAGACAAGGGCTCCTTGATGCAACATGGGATTAAATCTGGTTTCCTAGAGCGAATGAATAATTTTTAATTTTACCGATAGCTCCCCTACATCAGTACAAGGTAACCGACATATTTCCTACCCTTTCCTCAATGTTAGGCTTCCATAACAGCCGCCGTTGTTCGCCCATCTTGTTACCTGTCTCAGGTAACCTTGAGCCAGATCGAAAAGGATGTATAGAAATCGTCCCGCATCATCTACATAGGCGATAACCCGACAGCTCACTTTTTCCAGTTCCTCTAGAAGGTCGTTTACAACCGCAATCCAGAGAGGGGGAGTTCTGTCACGTAGTAAGCTGCAGATAAGCCTTGTAAGGTTGGTTTCAAACCCCAGATTATGAATATACTTGACCTTTTCCGGCCTTCAGGATCAACGCGACACTGACTACCCTGCAAGCCTTGAGGATGTACCCGGTCCTCACGCAGTTCGCATAAATAGGATCCATCTAATTGCAGACACCTTCAGAGCCCTTTTCAGCTGCGCTGGTATGATGCCATCGGTCCCGACAACTTTATTGGTTTGAACGAATTTATATTTGAACGCAAAAACATTTATATCATGCATCAAAAAGTGCGATAGCGATCCGAAAATTGTCGCTAACTGGTTACATAATCTCGCTCCTGAAGTACAAAATATCGCAAAGAAGTACATTGGAATGTACTTCGAAGTACGAACTACCATAATGAAAAGAGAAGTACTGTACTTCCGAAAGAAGTACGGTTGGTCACATTACTCATACGCCATGTGCGTCGCTCGACCACCAAGTATTCTGTACAGTGTACCAAAGAACGTAAATCTATAATAAGAGACAACACGTTATAATTGTAACGAGTGGAAATATCAGGAGCGAGCTTTCTCTTTTGCCGAAATACGATTTGTGATTGGGTGAAAAGAGAGAGCCATAAATTCACTTTTAAAATTTACATGGCTCATATTTAATTGTACCCTTATTTGTTTCAGAGACACAAAATTTTATGCAAAAAGCCAAAAAATCCCGTGTTATTAAAATTAGAAATTTGACATGTTTTGGGTACGGTTTAATTTGAAAATTAACGGCCATATTATTTACCTGTCGTTATTCCTTCTTATTCAACGGTTAAGTTCTCAGTATATCCAGTAAACAAACTTAGCTATTTTTTTCCACCAAATTTGGTCCCCATAAAGGACTAGTGTCGCAAGCAACGCTTTTTCGGCAATTAGAGTGTTGTGCAGCTATTTAATGTGGTGAAAATTATTTAAGCACTGGAGAGATTTATTCACATGAAATTGGAGATAGGGCAGATAGATTTACTTTAAATAAATTGTGAATCTGCGAAAATATCTTTTCAGCAGATGAATATGTTTTTTAACTTTTTTCCCGAAAATTTACATACAGGTTCGAAATTATGCGAGTAACATTCAAATATCGTCGCTTGGATGGAAAATTGCCGGAAGCGTCATTTTGACAATTTGTAGTTATTGATGCAGCTATATATTTTAGAGTAAGATATTTAGATTTTTTGTTAACTGGTTTTTGGATATATTCTTTAGTTTCCAAGTAATTGACTAAAATGTTTTCGGCTATTTGGTACAAATTGCGTTAGTATTCCTGTTGTACTAAACTAATCAAGATCTTTCAAATAGAGCTACCGGTTCTTCTTTAGTTTCCGACATATTCAGCTTATCATGAGTTTCATTTTCTAGAACCGGGTTTCTTTTTCACTTTTCGTTTGCGTGTATTCACTACAGGTGGATGAAAAAATTGTTGGCGAAACTCACGATCACGCTGATTAGTAAAAAGCATCGTTAATTTATAAAAAATTGTTATCACTTTTTGGCGTATATTATTAAAACTGACTGCAAATTTTTTGACAAATGTCGTATACGACAAAATTTTATTAAACTCATAGATGGTTGACACTAAACTAAAAAAATAAGATAATTTAAGAATTTCGTGAACTAGTACATAGCATTCTCCGAGACTTTGGAAAAGATCTGTAGTCGTGTTTCTGAGAAAATGCATTCTAAACTTCAATCGTGAGGTACCGAAAGTAACTTGTGACAATCTTTTATCCAGGCGACGATATAATATTTAGCTAAAATATACATCTAAATAAGTTATAATTGTCATTATTTTCGCAGTTGGAGTATATGCCAGACGAGTAACAGGTATATACATACAGGTGTACCTAAATTAGCGCGTTGAGCTTGTATATTTATCTCTCTCTAACGCATTAATTCTATATACGTCAGCACCAACGCCCGACAAAGTTACCCTGCAGGGAAACCGCGGACTAGTGAATCAAATTTGTAGTTCCGTACTAGGTCTTTATCGCCAAAAAGGAACTAGTCCGATATGAACTAAATCCCCACCAGTCCAAAATCGGAGAAAAGTGGTACTTTTAAAAAACTAATTTATTTCAGTTTTTTCACTAGAAATCGATATCTAAAGTGTCGAATTTAGAACTAATTCGGAGCTATCGAATAAGGGATGCAGCGGGGGGCTTGTTTACTTTACATAGATATGTGTTCGGCGGCTTTTTCGTTCAAATACGCTTCTATTCTGCGCTTCGCAGATGCTTTTTCATAGCTTGGTAATACAAAACTAGAATTTGTGTTAACATTTCAACATCTTGGGACCGTCTGGAATCTAAGAAATAACAGCGAGCACCTCTGCAAACTCAGCTACAGCTAAAGGTATGTAAACGTACATTTCTTACAATCATTCAAACAAATTTAATTTCAAATTGAAAACACATTNAAAGGGATGCAGCGGGGGGCAATTGACACTTCTTAGGACATCGCCATGTTAAATTCGCCAGTTGCTTGCATGCAAAAGAGATTTATCGCGAACCAGTACTGGGTCTAAATGTACTAGAAGCGCACCAGTTCAGAGCTAGAGATTTTCCCCACAGGGTATATCTGTATTAAATAATGGCTCTATTGCAAAATATTCATGAAATGTATTCGTAGATTTTTATTTACTTCATTTCATACATTAGTATTGATCTGAATGTTTTTTACTGAATACCAGGAATATATATTTAATAAAAAACTATTTCATTTAAGCTTTACCAACTTTTAGTTGCTCGGTGCTAATTTTGGAACGCTTCATGAAATATTTTCATAGACGGTAAATGCAACCCTGGGTGCATCATTAATGAGCTGGAAAACCAAAACAAATAAAAAAATTCCATCTGAACCAACATTCCCAAAAATTATAAAGCAAAACAAAAACAAGTTTTCAAATTTATATGCACTGTTATTTTTATTATTGCAATACAGTTTCAGTTCTTCGAACATTTTCCACATTATGCTTTTAAAGCTAGTAGTTTTCGATCCTATTTGCTCTTTTTTTTCAGTTCTGAATTTAGGTAGGTTTTATGGGAACTTACTGTGGGTGCATATATACCACATTTTGTAAATAGTTACAGACTTCAACTGAATTGTGTTATTTAATTTTATTTTACAATGAATAATGAATTTAATTTGTGCAATTTTTTATGTTTACTAGATGTAAGACAATTTTTAATTTTCTTTATATATTGCATGCTTTAGTTTTAATTATTTTTATGTTAAGTTGTAAAGTTGAAAATAGGCTTCTTCGCGTCTAAAAGCATACCTCACAGGTGGTGTGGAAAATGCAAGAACAAATATAAATGGAATAATTTTCGAAATTAGGAAATGGTTATTGGTATTTTCCATCTCAAAGGTGATCATTAATTTGAACGTTATTTAAGCTGCCTTTGCACGGTAGATTTTTGCCGTTTAACTAAAATCTACCCGTGTAAATTGCAATTCAACCGTAAAATATAAGCGTTTTGGCTGGTCGATATCTCAGTCAATTTTCCAATCGACAAAAATCGACCCGTGTAAAGGCAACTTCAGGAATTTTTTAATTTTTTTTTTTGTTTGCTTGGGCGCCTTTTGAAGATATGCCACATTATATTGTCGCCTTAAATACAAAAAAAAACAATTTCTTTAAGCCATCTTGCGCAGCAGTTTGTTGATCTTATGCTCACGGCTACCGAAATCACTAACCTCAACGTAGTGATTAGCCTTCTTGCGCCAGGCTCGGGTTGATGTGTTGAGCTTGAATGGCATCAGGAAATTGGAGGCTTTCTTGAAGTGGGTTCCAACAGTGGATATTTCGTGCCCCAAATAATCAAAGCACTGAATTTCGTGCGCTTTGTGCAATTTGCGTTCGATCACAAAGCTGTCAGAGATTGGGACACGTTGATGGTTGTGCTTGACAATTCCACGTTTGTAATTCAATTCGCGAACTGATTTAAGATTTGGATAGCCCCATATAGGGTTCAGCATACGTAGGATATTAATGGTTGCCTTGTTCAATTTGAGGAACAAACCGTGGTTAATGTGGCGAAAACGGAACGGTAAAACTTTACGCTCTTTTGGTGTAACTTTGTACGGATACGGATCACAAAATCCAATTTGGATTTTTTAGGCACGTAGAATTGGCCGCGTTTTTTGCCACATGGCGTAACTTCATTCCACGGCGTCTATCACGGAGTTTTCTTGTTTGATATTTCTCAGCATGCACCAAGATTTCACGTTTACAGAGTGTAATCGCACCAGAGCGCTTTAGTTTACGCTTGACCAGGGTAGCAATTTGCTGACCTGCTTCTTGCTGAATTTCAGCTTCGACTCAGGGACAGGAGGCAGCTTCCTGGAAGGTTGTCTGCCCTTTGCTTGCGGTTTTTTACCGGCCGTGATGGCAGTCATCTTAACTTGTTACCTAACACATTGAGAAGGCGAAAAAAAGTTCGCCAAATGTTTGGAGCACATCGTAAATGAGCCACTCGATTTATAACATTTTTATTAAACAATTTAATCAAATACTTCTTAATACATAGATATGTTGCAACCAGACACTTACTTTCTCCAATTCCATCCTGTTTATCGGCATAATTTTCCAAATATGCCTGCTACTTCATTACTAATAACCCATTTTCAAACTGCGCCTTCTTTGTTGCCTCAACATATCCCAAAAAGGACATAAATTTACATTAAACAATAGAAACAGCAAAAATTAGCAAATAAAATACTCCCTTCGTTTTGTTTTGTTGTCAAATTTCTGAGAAATGTGTATTCAGTGGCAATGCGCAGAGCGCTCGGGGCAGCAATATTAATTTGTATCAAATATAACATTAAACGCTCGACCGCTGTGGTGTAGTGGTAAGCAGTGCGCGCTTTCACTCATCAGCACCTGGGTTCAAGCCCTGGTCAAAGCAACATCGCAAAAAATATGGAAAAAAGGTTTTTTCTTAACAGCTGTCGTCCCTCGACAGCCAATGGCAACCTCCGAGTGTATTTCTGCCATGAAAAACAGCTTCTCATAAAAATACAATCGCCGTTCGGAGTCGGCGTAAAACTGTAGGTCCCTCCGCTTTGTGTGACAACATCAAGGTGCACGCCACAAGTCTGAGGAGAAGCTCGGCCAAACACTAACTTATGTGTAAGCGCCAATCTATTATTATTATTATAACATTAAACGGTGGTTCTAATACATTTTTTAATATTATTAACTAGAGTACATACATTATATGGTATCTCTTTCAAAAATTAATGTACTATATGAACTTTTTTTTCAAATATTTCTTAAGTTTATTTGATGAGTGTTGAAAAGCAACCATGCGTGTAGGAAATTGTGTGGTACCTAAAATTTCACCTCTGGAAACTTTATCCCCATAAAGGACTTCACCACAGTTTTTTTACTGGATGTACTGAGGTTGAGTTATTCTAAACAATTCTCAGCGACGGCGGAATAACTTTTTTGTCAATTATTCACTATGGAATAGCGACGAATAACTTTCCGGCAGAGGAATAAATTTTTATTCCAATAGTTTTTCCGAAGAGAGGAATTGAGATTGTGAAAATAGTATACAATTTTTTAATTATTATTATTTTCTTGAATGTTTAAATACATGAAAAACTAACAAATACTGTCCAATTCAATGTCAGGAACTTTGCCTGCTTCAAATGAAGTACATATGTAAATCAAAAAGATAAATACACCACAGTGTAGAGGATTAAATTCTCTACATAATTGCAGTGGGAAGTATTGCGCTGCGGGTTATCACTTTTCCGTAATCGATTGGTAAATTCATTGATTTTTTTTTTTGAACTACATATAAGCAGGAAATAATGTTACTCATACGCTCTGTACGAGTATCCAACTGATCAAACGTAAAGGAAGACGATAACAATTAATTGCGCGATGGGGATTAGTCGCAGCGTAGCAAATACCTCTGCAATTTATTTGTGGCACCGGCGACTCCGTTAGGCATACACACGTCTAATCCAGATTTTAATTCTTTTTAATTCGTTTTTGAATTCGTTTTAGCACTCTTTTGATTCCTAAGTGAATTGAAATGCTGAAAACATAAAAAATTAAGTCGCGATTCATATTTTTTTTTTCTTTTTTGAAACTGCAAACTTGACTTATGGGTGGAAGAATCACCGCTATTTTGAAAACAAGAGTGGCCAACTTTTTTCCAACAGTTTGACCAATCAACTTCCCCATAACGGTTTTTTTGGTCCACTATTGAAAAAATTACACATAGATGGTTAACATTTTTACCAAACTATTTAGTGGACAATTTTTCTAAAGGTCGCCGAATAAATATTCTGTGTTTTTCTGTTGTGACCGATATGCATACAAAAAAGTGCGGCTGGGCACACTGGAGAAGTGAAACTTTCGTTACATATCTATGTAATTTGTCTCATTTCATTGGTTCACAAGAACATCGATGAATATATCGATACAAAGTTCGATTTATTAATCGGTAGTAACATCAATAAAATTATCGATAACAAAATTTATTAAAATCGATAATAATATCGATAACAAAATCGATAATAACATCCATAACAAAATCGTACTATTTTGGCCTTATCGAAATTTTGGAGCGTCTTTTTCCTATCATTGAATATGAACGAGGAAATATAAAATAAGGACTTTTCGAAACGATGCATTTTTAAATTCTCTAGCGTTCTGTATCAAAATATGAGTTTTCATAAAAAGTGGGCTTAGCAATTTTTCACTCTAAGCTAGCGATATGTACATTTTTTATTCTTTATTTCATAGCTAACTTTATAAAAGTTTGGTTTGTGAATATGTATATGTATAGATGAATTATATTTAAAAATAAATTAAACAGAAAATACATACAATTTTTTAAGCACATATTTATGGGCGGGGAAATTTAAGAAATTTCGGTCAAAATCAGGGAATTTCATTATCGAAATCGGGGAATTCTCAAAAATGAGTTGGCTAATCTGCCCTTTGCCCACATATTTAACACAAGTACATCGCATTTCAATATGGGTTCCGAGGATATCGTTCGTTAAGCGGAACACTTTTTTAAATCTGTTCGTGTTGCGAAATGTTTGTTAAGTGAAGCTTTCCTTAACCGAAGGTTCACTGTACATATGTACGCACATATGTTCACACCCATATACTACATTTCTATTTATGCACTACTTTAGAAACCACAGCGCGCACAATTTTAATTTTTGCTTACCAATGCAAAAATCGGTTGACTGCGTGGAAACGCATTTACATAAGGTGAAGCAGCAACATAAACGCGCTGGCGCATAGCCATCGGACCTTTGTTGCGAGAGTGTCATTATCCTAAAAATAAATAAGACAAAATAAAAACTTTTTAATATACAACGCTTTTATAAATGGACTAAAAAGTAGAAAATAATATTTCTCAGTCCCACAGAATTTGTTTTGATAACCTTTGATTTTGAAATTTTAGCAAAAGTCATTATAAACAATTAATGACATTGAAAACGAAAAACGTGGAGCGCATGCAGTACAAAACATTCAATTTCATTGACAATAGTCAAACTACATAACATTCTACAGCGAAAGTACAAATTTGAGATCGATTTTAAGCGGTCGTTATTCATATGCCCACATACATATTTGTACATATATATACTTTTCATATCAATTCAAGTGTATTACATGCGCTCCACGCTTTTCATTTTCAATGTCATTAATTGTTTAGAATGACTTTTGCTAAAATTTCAAAATCAAAAGTTCTCAAAACAAATTCTGTGGGACTGAGAAATTTTATTTTCTACTTTTTAGAAAAGCGTTGTATATTAAAAAGTTTTTTATTTTGTTTTATTTATTTTCAACTTTTTAGTCTTGTCTGTACAAAATTTTGCAATAGATATTAAAATAATTCAACTTGCAGTGAAAGAGAGGAGAAGACTATGCAAGCACAATGTTGTTTGCTCACATTTAGTATAAACATTAGGGCGGGTTGATTTGTTTTTAAATCGTATTGCAAAAACGTAAACTACATAAAATTCTAAGAAAATTCTCCGAAGAAACCATGTATCTAAAATAAAATCCTAATCCGCGCCTCTCGACTTGAAAATTTATATGGCCGCCTTTGCCAAAAAAAATAA